GAGGGCCTGGAGCCTGTCCCAGATGGTTTGGAGGAAGAAAATCAGAGTACACCCTGGACAGGGAGTGACATTCATGTTTTGCATTCATATTAAAGCCAATTTGAAATGACCAACTCATCTAACGATGCAAGTAGGCACAAGGCGAACGTGCCGACTCTACCCAGAAATGCTCCAACACATTCAAACCCCACACCTGTGGTTCACTTTGGTTCTAACAGAGAACAGAATAAATCTTTTAACTGTCTGCAGTAAAGTTTGGTGCCACTTTGTGTTTACTGACAAGAGTCATCGTGTCAGATCACCAGTGAGCCCAAAATTCAATTTTCTATGAACAAGACAAAGTGCTGAGTCGGTGCTTTGAACTCTCCTCATTTGCTTTTACTTCCGACGAACTGCCGATGTCATTTTTCAGCTCACTGAGCCGCCTTCTCTCAAATTAATTTCTACAAATTTCCAGAAACAACGGAAATTCTAGCTAGAATAAATGAGATTACTGAAAGAGTAATGTGGGTGTTGACAAGCAGCTGCTGACAAACTCAGAGTGTGAAATATCACGACGGTTTTAGTTTGCTGTCAGCTGTTTCACTCAGTTTTAGTGAGTTTCAGTCATCAAAACTAGAACACCAGTTTATATAATTGATCAGATAAATAATGTGGCCTGCATTAAAAACACTGCAAAACACATTTTCAGCCCACACATCATGGAGAGGTTGATTAAGGTGAAGCCCAGCAGGCGGCCTGTGTTAATGGGAACAGTTCAGAATAAGCTGACGGTGATCTGAAACGCTGATATATCCAAATAAAAAACACAGCAGAGTTTGCAAGCTACAAGTTTTGCATTCAGCCAATGAAAGATAATATATTTGTGTGCAACTTTCCCAACCTATCTGGAAAATATAACAAGCACAGAAAAAAGCTAAAGCTTACGGTTATGGTCTTACATTTATTTATCCCCCATTTCTGACCTTTAAAACTGCTGTTAACTGTTACTTGCGCTGCTTCTTTTGAGCTCAGTACACCCGTTCACCCTAAGAGAGGCACATCTGTTCTGAGTCACACTTGACAATTCTAACAATTTTAAGCCATTGTAGGAGTCTCATTATCATGTCTCATGCAGATTTTTAAAGAATGTGTTATTTATTAGAGGTTTTTTTTTTCATTCTCTTCCATTTGGGGAAAGAGTTGGCAGCAAAAGGTTGGCTGTCACTTCTCTGGTTTCTTTGCAGCCACTGAATAAAAGCCAGTCTTTAGGAAAGTGCCCTGTAAGTGGTGCTGGCTTTTGTACAATAGAATGTCTTAATATTTGGAACAAGGTGCAAAAATGCTGTGCCACAGAGGGGGTGTGTCACCATTAAATTGACCTTAATGTAACCCCTATTTCAATTTTAGAAGTTCAATAAAACTTAGTGTTTTGAACCACGCTGTAAAAGTCTCTATTCCTCCTGTAGACAAGTGAATCTATGAGAGACTGATGGCAGGCAGCTTCAAGTAGGCCCTGGAGGAACTGCAGTTACTAACATTTCTGACTTGGCTTAATTTGTCAGATCCAGAGGTTGCTGCTCAGTTTTTCCTGCAGGAGTTTAAAGGCAGGGATCCTCCAAACAGAGATTAGATAAACCAGCCCCAAGGTTTTTTTTGTCTGGCTTTCCTGAATCTATAGCTTCTGTTTTTCTCAGTCAAGAAAGCCCTGAGTTTGAACCGAGGGCACACAAGATGAGAAACTGGCAAAATAAGATCTGAAGTAACAAAACATGAAACCTACACTAAAGGAGATTTAACATGAGATACGCAGCCTAACAAAGATAACAAGACACAAAACTAAAAGACCCAAAGCAGAAAAATAATAGAAAATAAACATTACCTGAAACTCAGCACATTATCCAATAAGAAAACTCTTAACTGAGAACCCAGAAGTCATAAGCTCTAAAAAAAAAGGAATCAGGACATAAATGCCCTTAAAACGCTATTCTGACTGACATGAAATCACCTCAAAGGCCTTAAAGAGGAAAAATGGGACTTAAATTAGAGGACAACCAGACTAATCATTAACTTTTGACTTTGTTTTGTTAAAGTTTTAATTAATCTTGAAGTTCCTGAATTTGCTGCATGTGAGCTTCTTAGAAAACGTTTCAGGAGATTTAATCAGACTCTCTGTCTCTCTCTCTCTCTCTGTGTGTGTGTGTGTGTGTGTGTCTCTGTGTGTGTGTGTGTGTGTGTGTGTGTGTCTCTGTGTGTGTGTGTGTGTGTGTGTGTGTGTGTGTGTCTCTGTGTGTGTGTGTGTGTGTGTGTCTCTGTGTGTGTGTGTGTGTGTGTATGTGTGTCTCTGTGTGTGTGTGTGTGTGTGTGTGTGTGTGTGTGTGTGTGTGTGTGTCTCTCTCTATGTCTCTCTGTGTGTCTGTGTGTGTGTGTGTGTGTGTGTGTGTGTGTGTCTCTCTCTATGTCTCTCTGTGTGTCTGTGTGTGTGTGTGTGTCTCTTTCTTTGCTTTCATTAATTATTTTAATTAATTATACATTATAAATTATAAATTATTGTTTTTATACATTTATAAAAACAATAATTGGTTATGGGACAGGTTTTATTTGAAAAAGAAAAGATTTTAACTGCAGTGACATTTTTTCTGGAGCAACAACAAAAGGAAAAAATGTTAATGTTCGTCATTTATTACAAATTCATTAAGAAAGTTTAAAAGACTCACACGCAGCGCGCAGGATCCAACGTGGCTGAAGTCTTTGTTGACTCCGTGTTGCCCCCTGGTGTCAGAGAAGTCTTACTGCAGTTATCGTGGTGGATTTCAGGAGAAGTGATACAGCAGTCCTCGGCAAAAGTACAAAAAGTACAAAAAGCTGAGAAAAATGTTTGTCATAGAGCCTTTGAGATTAGATGAACCAATGAGTGATCTTCCTCCACCTGCCTCACTCTGACCAATCATTAACCTGGTGCATGGAAACAAGGTTTCCCAATCTTCAGGTGCTGACAATCGAGCGTTTCACAGCAACACTTTCAGGACCAGCAGAGGCTGGATCTGGATCCTGATATTCTGAGGTGAAGCACTTTAATAGCCCAGGCAGAATTAAAAAAAGAGATCCAAATAAACACTGTGGTCCAGATAAACAGAACTGAATCAAGTGAATTTTAAACCAAAGCCAGTCAGTTGAGATACTGTATGAAAGTGATTCACATTTTTGTGTTAGAAAAACTTGAAACAACAGAAACTTTTGGCAGTTAAAATGTTCATATTTTTAATGCTAATTTTAAATGTGTTACTTTTCTTGGTTCACATCTTATTAATAATCTCACAAAAGCAACATGTCAGAGTCACAGCTGCCCGACTGTACTGTCTAAATATGCAGCGTGCACCGTCAGCCTGGTGGAAATAGACTGTTTGCTCAACCATTAAGCAACCCAGATATTTTAATGAACTAAAGGAGGGGAGTTTATTTTATTTATGCAAAAAAAAGAGGTAAAAACCAAATTGTTCAAACACATTTACATTTATTTAAACAGTCTGTGTCAGTTACTTCTTACAAAACAAATATTATATGTATCACTAGTGAAAACATGATAAAACCTATGGCAAGTTTGAGTAAATTATTCATTACCTTTGGCTAGTATTTATAATATGAATATGTGACCAGGTAAAAGTTTGATGAACAACAATTAGTCCCACTCTTTCTGCATAGTTTGTTACTTCACACTTTATTAAACCATAACTGTGGAAATAATGACAAATTTTAAAATAGTTAAACAAATTCAAAGCAAATCAATCAACAAACAAACCCTATGATACTCCCTGTAATTTTAGCTACACTAATATAATAAAATATAATACCTGTGAAAACTGAAACTGACAGGGAGCATTTTCCCATTAAATGATCACAACAGCACATTTTAACATACAGCTGAGTCATAAATGTCCACTTGTGGTGATTTGAAGGTTAAAATAATTGAATTTATCTTGTTTAGCATCATAAAAATGATGTTTTAATCCCTGCAATTCTCCATTAAAAGGTTAAGCCTTAAGGTTAAACAAAGCATTAACAGTGTTAGTAGAATAACATAGACATGACAGGGGAAAAGAGACTAATAAATAAATACTGCACTCTTAATCAAGGTACAAAAAGGGTTTTATCATTTAATTTATACAAAAAAAAATGTTGTGTAGTATCTGATTCACAGAAACATGAATCATTTTGTTTCCCAATAAATAAAGTGATGGGTGCCTAATAGTTTTATTAGACCACAGATATCTGGTGCTCTGTTATTCAATAGAAATTCTATTTATTTCATCTGTTACTCCAAGTGGATTTAGCAAGCACGACACACTCAAATCAAAAGCTGATTCATTCACACTGAGCTGCGTTGTTCCAGCTCTAAACTGAAGCTCCACTAATAGAAAAACAATATGTCATATCGAGACGTGTTTATTCCGAGATTACATTTATAAGCAGCGGTAGATTACCGCAGAGCGAGCACGTATGCATTTTAAACAGGAGATAAATACAGAAACATGATGGAAAACACAAAGCAAAGCAAATAAAGATAACTATATACTATGAAGACAAGTTAAAATGCAGTTAAGATACTGCTGAATATGACTCGTTTCTGTATATAATCTGGTTTTGATTAAACATATATACACTCCATATACTTGGTTTGATTGCAGTACATTGTTTGTATTTAAACAGCAGGAAATTAAACCTGTTTTCAGCCTCGTTTCTCATCGTTTTCTTGAATTTTCCATCTGCTTAATTTAACAAACTTGGGTTTTGATAAAACTACATGAGCACCTATAGATGTTCCCGAGTAAAACAGTCGTCAACATTTTGGTTTTTTACGTTTTTCAGCCAATCACAGAGCTGCTCGTCAGGGTCATGAGAATCCCACGATCGCCTGAGCTCTGATAACTTGAGGAGGAAACTGTAAGACACTTCTGATTGGCTACGGTCCAACACGCTGCAGGGATAAAACAGCAGCTTGACCCTTCATCGCCATGACCACCATGGCCTTCCTCTGGATCGTCTCCTGCCTCGCCTTTGTCAGCGCTGCCTACGGTGAGAGTGCCAGGTTCAGTTTTCTTTCAAAGTTTGAGTTTGACTCAAGTTTTCTGCACTTTTATTACTTTTTAAAAGTTAAATGTGTAACTGCTGCATGAATTAGAAGATCTGTGAAACTTATTTTTTTAATAAAAAGTTGATTATTAGTTTAGGCGGGCCACAGTAACTGCATGTGAGATGATCAGCTCTCAGTTGCAAAGATTACTGTGCAGTTAGATATTGAAGTACTTCAAACAGTCAGTGTGACTCTGCTGGTTTGTTCTCTTTGTGTCAAAACCTCAGGCTGTGGCACCCCTGCCATCCCTCCCCGGGTCACTGGCTATGCCCGCATTGTCAACGGTGAGGAGGCAGTGCCTCACTCCTGGCCCTGACAGGTGTCTCTGCAGGTGAGTCAGCTGACCTCAGCAATCGCAAGCAGCTTCTTCTCCTTCTTCTTCTTCATTATCTCAGTTTGCTCTTGTTTTCCTCACAGCAAACCAACGGCTTCCACTTCTGTGGAGGATCTCTGATCAGCGAGCAGTGGGTGGTGACTGCTGCTCACTGTAACGTCAGGTCAGCACGAGAAAACCTCAGCACATCAGCTCACACATCTGTCTGCGGCTGGTTGCTGCTTAAGATGCAACAGTTTAAAAAACGAGTCAGACAAATATCATGCATCTATTCAAACCGACAGTGCGACTTCCTTTGTGTGACTCAGTTCTGCACAAACATACAAACCCATAAAAACAGCTCGAGGTTTACAGTTGGCTTATTAAATTCCTAAAACAGCTGATTATTGTAGACTTTTTGTCTGACAGACAGACAACGTTGCTTTTGTGTTGGACTGCTATGGATAAATTCCCTTTCAACAGGTATTTGTGGTATGAGGATAGCGTGTCTGTGGACTGAATAATAACACTTTTTCATTGTGTGTTTTGACATTTAAAAGTTGCATTCCTATCCTACTGCTAGGACCTACCACAATGTGATTGTTGGAGAGCACAATAAGGGTTATGGCTCCACTGAAAACATCCAGGTGCTGAAGCCCGCCAAGGTGAGAACCAATCATCAACCAACGAGCTTTCAGAGCATGCATTTTTCCCATATCTAACCCCTCCCTCCATACTTCTCACAGGTCTTCACTCACCCCAGCTGGAACCCCCAAACCATCAACAATGATATCACCCTGATCAAGCTGGCCAGCCCTGCTCGCCTGGGCACCAACGTGTCTCCCGTCTGCCTTGCCGACACTACCGACAGCTTCGCTGCTGGCATGAAATGCGTCACTACCGGCTGGGATCTGACTCGTTACAACAGTGAGATGTCTTGCACAGGAGGAGAGGGCAGTCTGAGTTTAACCCTCAGTGCAGTTTATTGCAGTTTCTTTCTTTAGCCAACAAAAACGTTCTGCTAACAGTTAATTCTGCTCAAATTGTCAAGTTGGAAAAGTTGTGGTTCACGTATTTCTCCATCAGAAATATTATCAGACAAACTATGTGTATTATCAGTGTGACAGGCATTTATGACAAAAATGTTCCATGGTTACTGTCCCACAGCTCCCAGTACTCCCAATAACCTACAGCAGGCCGCCCTGCCTCTGCTGTCCAACGCGGAGTGCAAGAAACACTGGGGCAGCAACATCTCTGACGTCATGATCCGTGCCGGTGGAGCTGGTGCCACTTCCTGCATGGTAAGGACCCGCCCACCCACCTGGAAACCATTCCAGATTTTCTTCACACACGCTTTGTCCCGTTCTAGTGTTGGACGCTTCCACGTACCTGTTGGTCTTGTTTGTTGTTCATTACTCTCTTTCTCAGGGTGACTCTGGCGGACCTCTGGTCTGTCAAAAGGACAACGTGTGGACTCTGGTTGGTATCGTATCTTGGGGAAGCAGCCGCTGCTCCACCTCCACTCCTGCTGTCTACGCCCGAGTCACCCAGCTCCGTGGGTGGGTCGACCAGATCCTGGCTTCCAACTAAAAGCTAAACAGCTAAACCTCCTCCACCAGGGACACCCACAAACCCCATAAGACCCCAGAAGTGTGACATCAGAGTGTGGACCCAGGTCATCGATGATAATAAAAAACCTGAAAATCAGAGACTGTGTTAGACTTTGACTTCTTTCAGCAGAGCCTGAATCTACTTTGCTTACTGAGTTTGCTTTAGCATATTTCATCACTTCTTAAAAGGGCAGCACAGCATGGCGCCCTTCTCTCAGACGCCCACACCATACAGCATGTGAGCATGTCAGCTTGATTACTTTTCCACAAAATTAGCTACATCAGTCTTAAAAGCAGATTAGGGCTGTGCATGTGTGTGTTTCTTGCGTATGTTTGTGTGTCTTCTTTGTAAGTTGTTTCACTCTTTAACAAAGACATTGTACAAGAAAGTGTTTTTGTAAATGGCCTAAAAAGAAATAACATGAGAAAAACCCCACTATTAATAAACTGTAGTATGTTAAACATGTGAACAAGACTGAACATCAGCATCTTTTCATATTTACATCAATTGATTTATTTATAAGCACATTTAAAAACAACACACAAACAACAACAACAAAAAACATTACAAAGAAAAGCAACAATGCGCTCACCTTTAGTTTCCAGAGATGCACAGACTTTTCCAAAGGAATCAAAGTATTTGTTTACAGTTTCACATATTTATTACAGATTAAAATGCCTGCAAAATAAAACTTGGCGCCTGCTCCATGTCACCATTAGGTGGTGATCAGCTGACAGCACAGTCCCTTTCTCTAGCTGAGTGTCCAAGACATTTGATGGTTTGATTACAAAATCAACCTGCAGCATGAACATGGTTTTCCTTATCAATAAGAGTTATTAACACAGGAGCTGAGTAATAGAACATCACTCGGGTTCAGACTACGCTTGTCCCAAGCATGCTCCCCCGATGTCCGTAATGGAGTCTGGATGGGCACCTTCCAAGCACCAAGAAGGCCAGGTACTCTAAAGGAGACGCAAGTATACTCAGCCCTGCTTCCACCTCTTACTGAGGGTTGTAAGTCACAGCAGCTGGCCGCCCCTCCCTGAGCCTGGATCTGCCGGAGGTTTCTTCCTGTTAAAAGGGAGTTTTTCCTTCCCACCGTCGCCAAAGGTCATATAATTGTTGGGTTTTTCTCTGTAAGTATCATTGTAAGGTCTACCTGACTATATAAAACGCCTTAGACGGCTGTTGTTGTGATTTGGTGCTGTATAAATAAAATTTAAGCTCCAGAGTAAAATAGAATCCTGATTTAATTTCTAATAAACTTTGGCTCCCTTCAAACTGTCGGGAAACATACAGTTAGTCTATAATTTGTTGAACAGAGCCATAGATTTTATACTTTCGCCTAAGTAAACCAAAGAGTGGATAGATATAGACGTAGTCCCCCAGTTTAATAGCCTCACAATTAACTGAACAAACCAATAATAATAGTAATTTCATAAGAACTGTTTTTAATACTTGAATAAAAAAATCCTTTGTGATGAGTGAAGCGTAGAACCCACGGACATCACCGATGCTGCGCTTCTTCCCGTCAGCTGCTGCTTTTTTGTGAGTCTCTCTGTCTTCAGTTTTGTGTTTAATAACTGAAACGTGTAAACAGTAGTTCACACCATGTTGTTAACACAGGCGTATTTTGATTGTAGTTGTTGATAGTGTTACACCTGCCACGACAAGCGACTAAAATTTTGTTCTTGCTCTTTTTAAATTGCTTTATTTCCGTTTTCAGGAAAATGATGGCTAACATCTCATATTTACGGTTACATTAAAATTATAGTGAAAAGCTATAAAAGACAAGTTCAACACTTCAGATATTGTCTGCTTCTTTAGTCATAATGTCAGTCAGTTTTTCCATTAATTCTATACCTCTGAAAATGGGATTATTTGCTGGTTTCTTAAAACATTCATGGTAAATTTTTGTAAAACAATTAAAGCTGAAAGTCTGACTTTGATCGCATTTTAAATATTTGGTTTAGAGTCCACTGTGCCAGTTTGTTACAAAATAAACAATGGAACAAATAAACCCCCTCAAAACAACAACAATAAAAAAACATCCCAAAAAACCAAAAACCAAACTGCATCAGAAACAGTAGCAGTCACTCAGAGCTGTGAACAGGAGTCACACAGTATACTAGCATGCTTCTGCTGCCGGTCTGAGAAACTTCGACACACTACCATTTGGTTCCCAAAGCAGTAATTCTCAAGTTCATCACTTTTAATTACTCAACCACTTTTGTGTCTTCTTGCGGTAATTATGTAGATATGCTTAAGTTGCCTCTGACTCACTGTAAGTGGCCAAATAAAAAAAATTACATTTAAAAACCACAATCTGTATTTAAATGATATTGGAGTGTTTCTTATACAGCACTTTTCTACTCTGAGCACTCAAAGCACTTTATGCAACATGCGTCATTCACACATTCATACAAACACTTTTTTTCTACATAGGTGCTTTTTACATAACATTTATATGACAGATGCTTTGGAGGCGAACTCGGGGTTATCTTGCCCAATGAACACCAACACAGTTTTCTTATATATTGATTCTGTGTTTATTAAGAGACCTGGAATGTAAATGAGGACTTTGGGTGAGCTTCTGTTGTTTAAATGTGCTACAGGCTATAAAGAATAGATGTGACAATATTTTTTCATTTCAAAAACAAACAACAAACCAAAATAAGCTACAGTTTGCTACAGCGGGGTTAGGTCAGTTGGTGATTCAAATTGCCCATTGTTGTGAATGTGAGTGTGTCTGTGTTAGCCGCCTCTGCTGATTACCAGTTAGATGTTCAGTTTGTTCTTGATGACAGAAAACAAACACGAGGACCAACATTCATCTTTTCCAAACAGTTTTACTTATTTCAATAACAGATAAAAACTCCCTTTGAAGGATGTTTCAAACTGAAGTATTCACTTCACATCTATCCAGTTCAGTTATTTATACTCATCACAAGACACACACAAAAAATGGCATCTCATGAAAAGGCTAAAAGGTGTTCCACATCGATTTTTCATTGTAAAAACTAAACAGCAATTGACATCGTAAAGCTTGCAGAGCTGGAACTCATTTCATTTGTCACATAAACATGACTTTTCTTTTTTTTCTTTCATTTTTAACTCAGGCCAATAAAACTATCCAGGTTCTCAGAGCTGTTTAAATAGGTTAAACATGTTAATGATTACACAAACTCTTCAAAACCCATTAGTGCATCTTAGGGCAGATGTTTGTGTATTTGCTTGTTTTTTGTTTCTTGCTTTGTTTTTTTTTTTTGCATCATCTGATCAGATCCTAACAATACTAACTAAGAAATACTAATAATGAATAATAAGAATGTTGATGTCAGAACACATACAAAATGTTTAAGTCCACTTGCTGCTGATAAACACTCAATGTTGGGAAATGCACACCTGTTTCAGAAAAATGGAGGTCAATACCCAGATAACAGCAGGAACCAACTGGAAACATGAGAGTGGACAAAAATACTAAAGAAGTGCGGTGAAACTAAAGTAATTGTTTCAGTTTGTTTTTAATGTTAACACAACACACTTGAATTAGTTCAATCCCAAATTTTAAAAAAAAATTAAAGTTCAATAAATCAATCAACTGAGAGCTCTTACAGATGCATTTACAAATATTAACAGCAATAATCTACATGTTACATTTAAGTGAATTATATATAAAAAAAAAACAGTTTTGTTAAACATGCAGCTTTGCTTTCAAATTTCACAAATAAATTCAATAGAAGTAAAAAGTGCAGCAGTTAGTCTTGTGAATATTAATAATTTAGCTATTAATGTATGGGTTGTGTTTATGCCCTCATTTTTTTACATTTTGTTAATTGATTTCAAACATTTGGAATTGAGTTAAAAATAAATCAAAAAATGTATTAGTTTCACAAAAATAAGAGGAGGAAGATCAAGAGTGGGAACAAAAAATATATATGAGGATTTAGATTTTCTAAATAGTTTTATTTTATTTTAACACTATTTTAAAATTTTCCTTTACTCATTTACTAACATTTGTCAGGAATCACTGACTAATGTTTGATGTAACCCATGAAAAAGTAAATGTCAGGCAACAACAGACGTTAAACAGCTAAAAACAGGAGCTACGGACTGACAGCAAAACAACTAGTAGGTCAGGGGGGAGATACTTTCATCCCCACCCAAGATTGAGCACCAAGTACGGAGAGCGGCTGAGCCAACAGATTGTGGCGAAGCTGGAAACCTGAAACCTGTAGTCGGTTACCAAAACAATGTGAGGGATGTGAATGCTGCATTACAGACAAGCAGAAGGAGAATATCAAAGTAGAAGGAAGGAAGTTAGCCAACTATACAGCAAGCCAAGCTAAAACCTCTTGGCCAGTCAATGCTCATAATGGCTGGTCTAAGAGCAGACCATAGCAACCATCACGGGGGCAGACATCAAAGAAAGGGTCTCCAGTATAAAGCACCAGGCCTGATGCACGCCAACTTGCTGAAGAAGCAGACTGCACTCCATGAGCATCTATGACGCCCATTATGGCTACCTGAAGGATCCCCAGAAAGAAGGACAGGCCCCGGCACAGGATGCACCAGCAGATAAAGGAAGTGGCTGACATCCTGAAATTCTACACAGCATGGAGGCACTAATCATGGCACGATCTCTCATAGAGGATATAAAGTCAGAGAGATGCATGTTTTGTAATGACAAGGAGCAGGCTCATCTGGTAGAGTGGCTGCAAAAAAACATGGCATGCAAGCAGAGTGCAGCAGCCAGTGCAACACAAATTTTGGGTCCTTTGCTCCAACTAGTGGTCAGCGCAGAGCATTCCATTCCATCCACTCCTATGTGAAGGGCCTTAAGGATGGCCTTGAGACCACCCAGCACGTAACAGTGGGGTGTAAGATGCTAGCAGGCAGGGCATACATGGAACGCCATAATCAACTTGCTGGCATATTATACAGGAACATGTGTGCCAAGTATGGCATGAAAGTCCAGTGGTCAAAATGGGACACACCCACTAGGGTGGTCGGGAATGACCGAGCTAAGATCTTGTGGGATTTCCAGACAGAGGCAGACAAACAGGTGATGGTTAAC